GTGAATTATGTTTTTCGAATCAATTTTCAGTGTTCCATTTAAATATTCGTAGTATTACTAAAAAATTTGACAAACTAAAATTCCTATTAGATAATCTTAACTTTAACTTTAGCTTAATTTGTTTAACGGAAAGCTGGATTTTAGATACAACATTTAATCAAAACTCTAATTTTATTTTACCCAACTACAAAACCATTAGTTTTGAACAAAAATCTTCAAAAACAGGCAGTGGTTTATGTGTCTATGTGCTTGATGAATTTACTTATAAAATTAGAATGATCTGTCGTTCTCTGAGCCGGATTTTGAATCTTTCACTTTAGAAATTTACAATGAGTCATCAAAAAATACTATTATAACAACTACATACTGACCACCCAACTGATGTTTAAATAACTTTAAAAATCACTTGATTTTTAAATGCTATTTCAAAATAATCAAATGATTATTTTGAAATAGCATGCAAAAAAATAAAGACCACTTGTTTTTATTTGTTGGAGATTATAACGCCGATTATTTAAAATATGGTGAAAATAACAAAATACAACAATTTTACAATCGCTTTACTGAGTTTGGAATGATGCCTAAAATAAAAAACCAACAAGAATAACACAAAACTCTCGTTCTGCAATCGACAATATTTTTACAAACACACTCTTCCATTCCACATTCAAATCAGGCATCATTAGAAGTGACATAACAGACCATTTCCCAGTCTTTGCAATTTTCAAAAAACCAAAAGATATACTAAAAAAGAACTGGTACTTCAAAAAATAAATCTTTACAACCCGAGCCAAAAATATGTTTAAATTAGAGCTATTGACTGTAAATTAGAACTTTTTCTCAAGACATGTGCTAATAACAGCTACAACCCTTTTCTAGGTTAATTTTTCAATTTGTATGATAAGCATTTTCCTAATAAAACAAGCCATATTAAAACTAAAAGACTTCTTAATCCTTGGTTAACTAAAAACCTCTTAAAGTCTTCTAAGCGAAAAAAAAAGTTATATATACATTTTATTAAATCAAAGAAAGATTATGACACGCACAAATGTCTATTTGAAAGAGCTAAAAAAAACTACATACTTCAAAAACAAGCTGTTAGAACTAAAAGGTAACTGGAAAAAAATGTGGGATGCTACTAAAGAGATTCTTGAAAAATACACAATAAAGGTTTACCAAACCTGATTACCGTAGACAACACACAGATCTCTGATGTAAAATTGGCGGTAACAATATTTAATGAGTTTTTCGTAAATATTAGTGTAAACTTAGCCAGTAAAATTTAACACACTCCCGCACATTTCTTGAACTATCTACTTAAGTTTGATAAAAGCTTAGCATTTAAAAAATTCACTCGAAAAGAACTTGATCACTCAATAAAAAAACTAAATATAAATAAAGCAACAGGCTCTGATTCTATTTCAGCAAGCATAATCAAAGACTACTATAAACTTATTAAATTTATTAAAAATATTAGATATTTTTAACAAATGGCTTAAAACAGGTGTTTTTCCAGACAAACTGAAAGTTGCGAATTATTACACCCATTTTTAAATCAGGAGATGAAAGTCTGGTTATAATGTATCAACCTATATCGGTGTTACCTGTTTTTTCAAAAACTCTTGAACGTATCATGTATAATAGGATATTTGCATTTTTGAATGATAACAATCTTCTTTATTATAACCAATATGGTTTTTGATCAAATTACTCTACGGAACATGCACTTATGCAACTTATTGAAGTTATCAGTGGAGCATCTTCTCAAAACAAACTTGTCAAAAGCATTTGACACCGTTAACCATCAGATTTTATTAGAAAAACTAAAATATTACGGAATAAGAATAAATGGTTTACCAGTTACTTAACTGATCGAAAGCAGTTTATATTTCTAAATGACGGTTTTCAGACAAACAAACTTAAAATATTATGAGGGGTTTCACAAAGCTCCATCTTAGGTCCGCTGCTGTTCTTAATCTATGTCATCTATATAAAGCATCAGTATTTGATGCTTTATATAGAATGATCTATATAAAGCATCAAATACTGTCTACTATTATGTTTGCAGACGACACCACTTTATTCTATTCTCACAGTAATATTATCTCTTTATTTCAAGTAGCAAATAATGAACTAGAACAAATATCAAACTGGCTTATCGCTAACAGCCTATCTTTAAACACTGATAAAAGTTTTCCTTATTCCATTATAAACAAAAGTTTCAATATATTCCAAAATCCTTACCAATGCTATATATAAATAACATCAAAATTGATCGCTCATTCACAAATAAATTACTTATTATTTTAATCGATGAAAACTTATCCTGGAGAGATCATATTAAACATATAAAATATATAAACAATAAAATCTCAAGAAATATTGGCATTTTATATAAAACCAGACAAATCTTAGACAAGTCTACACTAACTCAGCTATATTTCGCATTCATAAATAGTTATTTATCTTACGGCAATATTGTTTGGGGTAGTACAAATAAATCTAAACTCGAATGTCTCCTTAAACAACAGAATCATGCAGCACGCATTATTCATTTTTAAAATTACTTCACAAATGCTAAATCTCCTCTAAAAAGCATGAGGGCACTTGATATTTATGAACTAAATATTTTTAAAATTACACAATTTATGTTCCAACATCAGTCAAAAAAAAAAACGCCGAAGGTTTTCGAAAATATTTTCCCTAAAATATTAAATTGATACAATACTTGATCCGGAAGATTTAAAAAACCTTTCCGTACATCAAAACTTACGAACTTTGCCATTTCCTATTTGTGGCCCAATGCTATGGAACCATTTTACAAACCTGAGTTGTAAACTTAAAGCCAATACCTCTCAAAAATTTACAAAGAACATAATCAAACTTATTGCTAATCAAGATTCTTTACATGATTTTTTCTAATAATACACTTTTATTTCCCTTTTTATTGCCAAAGATTACTGATGATAAGATTTTATCTTCTTCAGGTTCTCCGGTCTTGTAACTATTATAAATAATGAAATGTATTTGTATTTAATATTTTTAAATGTTTTATCGGAAATTACCTTTAATTGTAAACGGTTGCTTGACAAAAAAATAAATAAAAAAAATAAATAAATAAAAAAGATTAAAAAAAAAAAAATCAAGCATTAAGGTCATAAAGATTTTATTAAATCTCTAGTTATTGTAAATGACCCTGCTGAAAGAGCATGGTGGGAATGATGCAGCAGTTTGTGCACAGATAAAATAAAAAAGAAATTCAGAACAGATTGTTTACTGTTTAAAAAAAGAATTACTGCAAAAATGTCAGGATAAAAGTCTAAATTTGAACAAGAAAAAGTTGATTGACTCACTTTCTGCAAAGAAAAAAATATTTTAAAACTATGAAACTATGTTTATTTAATTTTTTTTTTTTTTTTTTTTGTTATTTCACCTCCCCAAGGCCGAGAAGGCCACTACAGACGAGGAGGCTACTTAGTTGTAATTATAACCCTCTCTCAACTCTATAACTTCAAAACACGAACCTTGATGAACAAGGCCACTGCGCGGAGAAACAAGTTAATATATAAATAAATTAGAAAATCAGTGATTTTTTTACTTCAATTACAAATGCATATAGGAAAAAGCACAAAAAAAATTTAATTATATTGTTTAAATATACAAAAACATCTTTGCAATATAATTCCTTTTTCTTCACCATCCTAAAGAAATAAAACAGCAAAAACAATCTAGTTCTCACATAATTATTGTTTTTATTTGAAAATATAAATCGATACCTGTATTGTAAAAAATACAATTTCAAAATTATTATATTATCACTTTGGAATACAGACTTATTTTTTGAAAATTTTTATAAGTAAATAGGCCTTGAGGAGGCAGAGAAGTGATCCAATCAGGTTAATATATTTACCCACATTTTAATTGGTAGCAGTGTGTGTACAATCATGATCACCTGATGGCACAAGATGACTTAAAATCGCAACTTGATTTCAAGTCATCTTGACTTATGTTTTGAAGTTTTTTTTTATTATTGATTTGAAGTTCTATTAGAAAAAAAGTTTTTTCCCGCCAAAGTTAAATTCTTTTGTTTGTAAAAGACAATGACTTTTTCCAGTAAAATACTTTTTGATAATTATTTTTTTAATATAACATAGTAAAAGTATAACATTTTTGTTGGTCCTTAAGTCTTGGTGTTAAAGTTAACTTTTTTATTACTAATTAGAACAAAGAAGAAAAAAAATCATCAAAAACTATTTTTTTTTTATATATACTTTTTTTTTAAGATTTAAAAAATTATATTAACTAGTAAAAAAGTAATGGTCAAAAGTGTAAAAAAAAGATGTATTTATTGTATAAATGATATATTTACAAAAATAGTAGAAATTCTTTAAATTTATTCTATTTTAAATCTTTTTCTAAAGTCTACATAAGGAGTTATCCATAAAGTAAGTACGCTTTTATTTTAAATCTTTTTTCAAAGTCTACATTAGGAGTCATCCATAAAGTACGCTTTTATTTAAGTACGTAAGGCTTTTATTTTGACCTCTTGCCCAAGATTAAGCATAATTGTAACAACTTGTGGTTTGTCAGAAACTTGTCACAACTTGTGGTTTGTCAGAAACTTGTCACAACTTGTGGTTTGTCAGAAACTTGTCACAACTTGTGGTTTGTCAGAAATAGAGGAAGTACAATAAAGATTATCAGCACTCCGACTATTCAAACATAATTAGCTTGAATATTTCAGTGTAATGTTATTTCAACATAAAATTGTAAAAATTTGTCATATCAATTATAATACTGGAATAACAAAATTTAATTTAATGCTGTATTTACAAATTTGTTGAAGCAGTTTTAATAGTTTAAAAGTTAACTTAATATGTAGGTGTAACTTACATAATTTAAATGTCATTTGTCTAACAATAAACTTTTAATAAAAAAAATTTATTAAAAAATTTATAATAAAAATTGTATTTATAATAAAAATGCAAGCATAATCTCACAGTTTAAAATATGTTTCTGGTCGTTTTGAATAGTTGCTAAACAAGGTATATAATTTATTGATATCATACTGCAATTGTGCTGCCCCTCCACCATTAAAATGAGACTCTAGAACAACCTGAAACAGAAACTGAATAAGGTTAAAGCTGTGTCTTTTATAAAAAATGTTCAATGTACAAAAATGGTAAAACATACATTATAAAATATCATTTCATCCAACATTTTAGCTGACTGTTTCCACACTCTTTCAAAGATTTCAGTGCAAAGTTTTTGTTCTAGAGAATGCAAGTAGTTTTTAACAAACAAAAACACATTACAAGCACTGGGTGATATTGAAGGCATTAAAATATCTTTTGGTAATGGAAGAGAATGCCATCTAAAACAATTAAAAGTAATAATAGGTTATTACCATTAAAATAAATAAATAACTGAAAAAAAATATCAACTCAAAAAGTAAACTCACTTTTCAGCTTGATATTTTTTAACATCACTTTGTAAACTATGTTTTATGTGTTCTACAAGAGATTGAACAAGGTTTTTAGAAAAACTCTCTAGTGACACCAAATGATCTTCAAAAACAGTTTTATCAGTGTTTTGTGCATTGTTTCCACATTCATAAGCATGCATTTGAATAAAATACTGTATACAAAAAATAAAAAATCATTAAACCCGTTTTCTGAAAATTGAAAAACAAAACTAAGGTTAAAATGCAATTTTCTAAAAACTTTCAAAATAACCAAAAATATCAATAAAATAAATAATGGTGTTAATGGTGTTAATGGTGTAATATTTTTTGTAACTAAAAAAATTTAGTTACAAAAAATATTACAAAAATTATTTATACGATATTATTTAAAATAAATAATAATGTTCTCAATATTTTTTGTAACTAAATTTTTGTATATAAAAAAAGTTAATTGAAATTTAATTATGTATCTTTTTTTTTACTTTTTCCTGCTATTTGTTGTGCAATATTTAACAACATGATTGGCGATAACAATATCAAGTTGCAGACTAAAACATGTATTGTAGATAATATTACAAACTACATAATTTTTGCATGAATACTAACAATAATTAAAAAATTGGTAAGATTTATAAAAAAATTAATCTTATTATGAGAAAAAAGTAAGCTTTGGTTGAAAAATAGTGATAATAATTTTAAATTGGAATTTTAAAACTAATATTTAGTTTTATCAAAAAAGATTTCTAAATAAACTATTGTCAGAAATTTTTAAAAAATGGACATTTTATAAATTAGCCCAAAAAATAAACAAACTTTAAATTATTTAAATATTTTAAAAACATTAATTTTTTTGAAACCCATAACCTAAATATATATATATATATATATATATATATATATATATATATATATATATATATATATATATATATATATATATATATATATATATATATATATATATATATATATATATATAGATGACTTTAAATTTACATTCTTGCTGCTAAAAAAAACTGTGTGCGTATACTTGTGACTGGATCAAAGCTATTAATTGAAAGGATTAGGACAATTAGGAAAGTAAAAAAATTAGAACAAGTTTGTAGTGCACATTTTTTATCAGGTCCTCTGATGATAGTTTATAATAAATGTTATTAACATGTAATGTATAATATTGTATTATACTGCCTATCCACAGTACATTTTTTTTTATTGGAGAAATTTAAAACTTTATATATTTTTTATTTTAACAGATTTTGGGTTCATTTTAGTATAAAGAGTCACAGTTGTTAAAAAGTAGCAAGGCCAAGGCCACGTGTTACAAGGCCATGGCCAAGACTAAGGCTAAAAATTACAAGGCCAAGGACAAAGCCACATGTTACAAGGCCAAGGCCAAGAATAAGAGTTTCAAGGCCAAATTCTGTCAAAAGTATTATTCATATTTTTTGTAATGTCAACAATAGATATTTGGTGTTAAAATTATTAATATCCAAATATAGTAGCTAGTTACGCAGATTTGCACCTCAGACGATGTAATAGATCATAACTATTAACTGAAATTTATTAATTTTATCATATAAATTTTGACTTATACATTTTTTTAGGGAAACCTTCTAATGATCCATATGATATTGACTGGAGTCCATCTACATTTCACCACCAAAGAGCTGCTCTTATTTCTAATTTGATAAATAAAAAGAAAAGAAAAAATTGCTATGAAGCTTTATATAAAAAACAACAATCTTTATCAATACTACTATCTATCCAACCTAATAAAAGAGCTTGATAATCATTCTGAGAAAATAATATCACTGATTTACCTAAATCTACTATTTCTAATTATCACCAAAATGATACTTACAAACAGAATTGGAAACTCTTAACTTTCAATTAAAGCAGTACAGAAGTGAGTTGATAGAGAATTCAAATGAAATTGTTAAACTTAGAAAAAAAGCTCAACTTTAACAAAGTAAACATATTTCATATGGAAATCAAACATCAGATGAACAGATAGCATGTATCAGAAAAACAGATCATTGTTGAGTCAAACTTTTATCAAAAACTTGATCCTGGTGACTGTGTACTTGCTGACAGAGGATTCAATATTAAAGATTAACTAAATGCTATTGGGGCAACATTGAAAATCGCAACTTTTACAAAAAGCAGACTACAATTATCTGGAGGCGAACTAGATACATCTAGATAGCTATTTAATGTTCCTATACCTGTGGAAAGAGTGATTGGACAAATAAAAAAGTTTTATATTATTCATATGACTGTGCCTATCACTTAAACTATTAGATATTACACCATAGTTATTATTTGTGCTCTTGTTAAACTGAATATGAGTGTTACTTGATTAAAATAAATGTTAAAGTAAATTTATAAAGAAGCAATTTTTAAAAATTTAACTTTTTATTTTAACAAAAGTGTAATAAAACCATTTAAATACCGCAGTTTTTTTATCTACATTGTTTCTATATCTACAGTTCTACAGCAATTTTTTAAGATTTAAATATAAATACATGTTAAAATGGTACTAACTTTAATTTATCTATTGTCTGGTTTTACTATCTTTGCATAATCATTTAGTACTTTTTTGAGCCCTTTATATTTTTACACAAGTGTAATGAAACCATTCATACCTACAGTTTATAAAATTGCAAGGTATCATTTTTCCAAAACTAGGTCTTTGGCATATGCAATAAACTTTACTACTATTTATTGTTGATTCGTCTCTTTGTCTTGTTACAAGCTCAGGTAATAAAATGTTTTTAAAATATGTACAAAACTTATCAATCATTTTAGAAATAACATCTTATTCTTTTTTAATTGTTAAAATGAAGGTTTCACTTCTAGCTGCAGGAGAGAATACAAGAAAATCAGCCTCAGAACAAAGACATGCATATAGTTGTATTTGAACTTGATAATAATATTTATGATCTTTAACTACAATAAGATCTCTATTGATTGGAAAATCATTATTTTCTTCCTAGCCTTCAAAACCTACTTGATACTTATAAAGACATTTAGTAAGACATTTATATATTTGACGGGGACTGGAGCCGAGTTTGATAAAAAATAGTAGGGGCCAGGTTTGTGGCTGGGGCTGCACAAGCCCCATCATCATGATCATGATCACCATCATTATCAACATTAACATCATCATCATCATCATCATCATCATCATCATCATCATCATCATCATCATCATCATCATCATCATCATCATCATCATCATCATCATCATCATCATCATCATCATCATCATCATCATCATCATTAGGCATTAGCCTTCAACTTTTATACTGCTTCTCTAATATAAACAATCCAAAGCATTTTCTTTCCTTAATGCTCATTCATACAATAGGCAAGGCACTCTAAGTTTCTTTACTTCTTCCACTACCATTTTCTCCTAAAGCTGCTACCTCTCTACATGCTGATACCTAAATCACTTTAATCTTCTCCAACAAACATTTGATAAAACGCTTTTTTCTAGTCTGTCTAAGAATATGCCTCCTTTTCAGGTCTTGTTAGAGTTACACCACACATCCATATAATCATCTTTTCTTTGGGCAAATACTATACCATATAAATACTAAGTTTATATAAAAATGAAAGAATATTATAAGCCAGCATCTAAATAAATAGCAAACATATATGTTTATATTTATAATATGTATGCATAGAGAGCATCTTGGAAGCTTTTATTCCTTCTGGAATAAAGGTTTGGAAGCTCTTATTCCTTTTCTTTAATTTTAAGTCAAGCCTCATTCTACTTCACATTTTTCATCAGCTTGAGCAGTGGCTTTATAAAACAGTAACCATTTTTATTCATCTTTTTTACAAGAACATCTCTCTTAAGAACAAATGTTCTTTTATTATTCCAAGAAGCCAATGTAAAAACATCTTGGCTGATTAAGCACTGTTATTCTCAGTTTACTAAATCTTTTATCTTATCTCAGATATTAGGTTCTAGAAACTTAAGGTAAGTTTTCAACAATGCCATTAACTAAAGTAAGTCTAACATTTAATCTCTAAATCACAGGTCTGATCTTTTTACTTCTCCCCAAAATAAAGCAGAGTTATTTGCATAGAAATTTTACTCTAATTTGACTCTTGAATCTAATGGCCATACTCTTCCTGTTAAACAGACTAACCCATTATTAAACATCCAAATCACTCTGACTTCCAATGCTTAAATTATTTCTCAAATATACGCTTATGCAGTTTGTGCTTGCAGTGGCTTGTGGATTAAATTCTGGACTTGAAATCCACAATTTTTGTTAGACAACAAAACTCATTTACTGCAAAAAAATATTGCAATATTGTTGGCATTCCTATATTGACAAATAACAACCCTCTTACTCTCAGACAGTCTAAAAGCATATTAAGTAAATGTAATTAGACCTGCTTTATCTGTCAAGCTTGAACCACTCTTCCATTGTTGTAGTTCTTTCTTTTTCTACAAATATTATCATGATCTATGTTCAAACGAGCTATTATCTCTATTACAATAAACTCATTTTTACTTGGCTTCTTATGCAACAAGTTGCATCCTTTACTGTATCTGCCCCCTCATGCTATAAAAACTTTTATCAATCCAGTTTTTTTCCTTGTCATTTAATCATTTAATTATTTTTTTTATACAACCTACAACTTTTTATGTCTTTAGTTAACCTTTTCCTAGTAATTTAACCTATCCTCTATATAAAAGCAACACATAACTCAACAGTGATTCCTAGCAATCTTGTTGGAAGTAAATTAGAGTAAAAATATGAAAATATGTGCCAGTATTTAATCAATAGTAAATTTAAGTATAAAACTATAATAGGATTATAAATTTTTTTATAGCCTAGGCTAGAACCCGTCTTAACTGCAATCTTATAATTATGCCAGGGCCGGGGCTGGGTTTGCAAAAGGTCTCATTTTTAGCCGGGGACAGGACCCTAGTCATTTCCGAAGGACATTTGATCTTTAAAATTTTATTTTGATGACAACTGCATGTAATCAACCCATCTGGAGAAGGTCAAATAAAGAGATATTGTTCTTTCACATAAAAACCAGTATTTAAAACTTGGAAGTTTATATGATTTTTAGTTTATATGATTTTTATATGATTTTATAGATAGAAGTTTATATGATTTTTACTTTTTCAATATAATATTTTCGTGCAACAGGTTTCATTTCTGTTTTGTATTGTATTTATTTATTGATGCAATTTTTTGCATGTGTGAGTTTTTCAACTAAAGATTTGCTTGATATATAGTTTGTGTTAGAATGATATACTTCATTTGCATTTGAGGCTGTTATATCATGTTTGAATTGATGAGGCTGTTATTTTCATTTGAGGCTGTTATTATCATGTTTAGATGATGCACCGTGCCCTGCACGATGCATTATCTAAACATGAGCCCATACATCACACATTTTTGCTGTTCTTGTTTTTTGCTTCATTCTTTTGGTTCGATTATAAATGGATCCGGTAAAACTTGCCCGTTTTTAAGAGTTAACTTTGTATAGTTTATTGCATCTTCTATCTTTAGACTGTTAAAATATTTACTCATGATACTGTTAACTAATTTCAAAAATTTTAAATTGGCCTTGTTTATTTTACCCAAAAAAATAGAACCTCGAAATTTTACTTCTTTAAGGGGCCACAGCACAGCATAACTACACTACAAGTCAATTTTCACTTGGCAATACACCGATTGAGCGAATTAAAAACACGTCATTTTTAAGAGGTCTGAACTCCAATAGGAGGGGTAAAAAAATACTTCCGCTACAATATTTACTTGAGAAAACGAAGTATAAACATCTAAAACTGCTAAAACAAATATTTACTATAAAATTTATCATGAATTACAATATGATTTCAAAGATGAAAGTTGAAGAGTTAAAAAACTATTTGAAGTTAAGAGGATTAAAATTAAATGATAAAAAAGAAGAGCTAGTTGCTCGTGTATTTGCTGCAATAGAAAACAATGTTCTACCAATAAAAATAGCAGTAGAAGTTGAGGCAGATTTAAAAAAAGAATATAATTTGAAACTGGAATTAGACGATATGCAGAAAACAAATACAAATAACTAACTTTAACAATAAATAAGATAGAAATAAGATATTAATGTAAAGAATTAATAAATTTTAATAAAAAAAAGTTCCTGCAAAGTTAAGAACAAAGGTACATTAATAAGTATAATACATGTACAAGTAATAATAAAACAAAAACAAAAAACCTTTTTGCAAAAAAAAAAAAAAAAGACTCAACAAAAAATTTATTTAATGAGTACTTATTTTTGATTTAGGGTCTGCTATCAGTTTTGGTTTTAAATTACAAAGTGCACCACATGTTAGTAAAATGTCATCTGAATGTTGCAGTATGCTAATTGACATACTTCCATTTAGAATTCTGTATGTTTTAATTCGGGTTATAGTTCGCTCTACATGTATTCTTAGATTTGCAACATGTTGAGTTTTTTGAACTTCTTTGGTGGTTAATTGACTTTTCAAGCAGGCACCAGTTGGAACAACTAAAGTACAGAAAATTAAAATTAAATCTTCATGAATTTGAAAACCTCAATCAGCCATAATTTCGTCATCTCTCTCTAGTAGATTATATATACCACTATCTCTTGTAATAAATCTATCACTTGCTCTTCCACCATAACACGAAGAAAGAAATGTAATATATATCGAGTTGGACTAACACCTATTAAAAACTTAAATGTATTATGATGCTTATATTCTGACCAGGTGCTTGATTGCTTATCTAGGGACTTTGAACGTTCTATAAACACTTCTGCACAATCAAGAATTACTCAACATTTTTGATAACCAGCTTTCACAAAAACAGGTGGCAGATTGTTACGAATAGATTCATGTGAAAGCCATACAACTAATGCTTGTCCTAAAACTTGACTTAACATTTTAATCCAAGTTGTGAATGTACAATGCTGGGGATATGCCAAAACAATCAGCTAAGTCTTGATTTAGAAGACCTAATCTTATATGCATTAAAACAAGTAAAAACTCATCTCTTTGTGATAATTTTTTTAAATTTGTTCATTGAAGCATACTTTTTTTTGGTTTTTAGAATTGATAAACTTTTTTGGACCAGACCAATAAACTAAATTGGGTAAATATGGTTTAATTATTAAAAACAAATTCTCAAATAACTTAATTGTTGATAAACCAGTGTAAAAGTTCATTTTAGCATCAGTTTTAATTTTTTTCCATGTAAATACTGAACTTTCAACACTATCAAATAACTTTTGAAGCTTTAATTTTTGGCAAGTTAATGTTAACATGTTTACTTTACTGATGAGTGATTCGATTAAATTGCTCATGTCAACATATACTTTGAAATACGAATGATCAGATACTGGCAAGAATGATACATTTTCTACATGATACATTTGTTAAAACATCATTAGAATGAGGTGACTGTCCTGAAGCAAGTGTCATCAAAGTCGAACAACTTGTATTAGCAGTGCAGTCAAGCTTTTGCTTTTGTAATGGTATAGGGTGTTTTAATAATTTTCTTCTAGATTTATTAGCTTGTATTTCATATCCAAGACATAAAGTAGGCGTAGGGTTTGCAGTTGAAGGAATTCCATTAACAAAGTGCATGGAGCATACCCTATCACTACCTGTTGGCTGCCATAATGTTTTATTTATCAATTCTCTTCTAAACGCTTTCACCCATAATTGCCTTTCTTTATTTTTCTGATTTACTGATGGAAATTTGTATAATAAAAATGGCTTTTCACATAATGAGCATTCCTCTCTGCTTATATTTTGATGGTGTTCATTGCATATTTCTTTTTTCCATTTTTTCAACCTATATGTACTATTTGCACAACCATTTACTGCACAATTAACTTTCGGCATCAAATTTTGTTTTCTGATTATACTTAATAATTAAAAGAATTTTATTTGAATAATTTTGATAGATGATTATTTACTTTTGATAGATGTTTTCTGAAGTTTTAACGGGAGATTTAAAATGTTGTCTCTACTTTTACCCCTCCAGCGGGGTCTCGAACTCCCAAATCATAATGGCGCGTTACAAAGCTCAATCGGTGTATTATTGCTTGTTAAAACAGTTTCAAGAAAAAATTTTAGAAACTAGAAAAAAAAATTAATAACTTAAAAAACAACTTATAGAAAAAACAATTTTTAGTTTTAAAGATCATAACTTCAAGGTTAACCATTTTAAAGAAACATTAACTTTAAGATTAGCCTTTTCAATAACCCATCAACTTAAAGGATAATCCTTTTAAAGAACTCTTAACTTAAAAAATATTTTGAAAGAATTTTCATCTTAAAAAGGTGATCCTTTAAAAAAATTAATCATTTTTGAGAGAAACAGGTATATAAAAAAAAAAGATTGAATTAAAAATAAATCAAAACTCACAAGATCAGTTGACCATTCTTGTAAAACTTGTTGCATATAAATGACACCATTCATTATGGAGAAATACTGTGGTGATGATGGTTGGAAACACAACGATTTTAATTGATTAATAAATGTATCAAGTAGGTTTATCAAAAGGCTAAAAAATTTAGCCTCAGCAACAGGCTCTTTAAATGTTCTATGACGATCTAAAACAAATACAACAAAACATGGACGTATCAGAGATGCTGGGTACTGCTTAACCTCTTTTACTTAAAGTATTCAATTTAATTTTAAAACCTTATTTTTAATATTTTTACAATATTTGTAACTAATTTAAATGAATACACACATAAAAATCATAAAAAAATTAAAATTTAAGATGCTAATTACAATAAAAAAAAAATTAAAAACTTATATAAAAGAAAAGAAATGTTTGTTATGTTTTTCCGAACATGACCAATGCTATCTACAGTGTAGTAAGCTGGTTCTATATAAAGTAGAGATTGTATCTTAATATTCTTTTAGAGATTACAACATTTTTTTACTAAGTTTTTTAGGAAGATTTTTTATAGTGAATAAATTCTAATAAATATTAGGCTCAGACATTTTTTTTTTAAACATTTTTTTATTTTAAACATTAAAATAATATAAATGTTTAAAACACTTAAATTGTTTTTTTTGTCAACATTTGTTATAATATAATTTTGTGTCATTATAACAGAACAACAACAATAGGTGTGTAGAACAGTGACAATAGGTGTGTGAGACAGCGACAATAGGTGTGTGGGACAGAGACAATAGGTGTGTGAAACAGCAACAATAGGTGTGTGGAACAGACAATAGGTGTGTGGGACAGACAATAGGTGTGTGGAACAGCGACAAAAGGTGTGTAGAACAGCGACAATAGGTGAGTGGAACAGTGACAATACGTGTGTGGAACAGCAACAAAAGGTGTGTGGAACAATGGCAATAGGTGTGTGGGACAGCAACAATAGGTGTGTGGAGCAGCAACAATAGGTGTGTGGGACAGACAATAGGTGTGTGGGACAGACAATAGGTGTGTGGAACAGACAATAGGTGTGTGGAACAGCGACAATAGGTGTGTGGGACAGCGACAATAGTTCAAGAATTTTATATTTAAGTAACTAAAATCAACCATGTTTAAAACACAGCAATATCAAGGTATTTATAACAATACTAGATAAAATACCCACCGAATTAGAAACAGAAGATCCTATCTTTACCCTTTTTACAATCATTAATATTAGATAGCAGAAGTTATAGGCATTCTATAAAGAAACCATAGCTTCTAAAATTAAAAGTGACCCAACAATTCCTTTATTATTATTACATTCCTGCCCTAATTGAGTAAAACAAAAGTGCAAGTGGCATATTTCAACCCCTAAAAAAACCACACAAAAGATTTTCAAACCTCGAACCCATAAAATTAAGGTTTTAAGGTTTTTCTTTTAAAATTAAGGTTTTCTAATACAGAAATATTCTGAAAACCTTTGAAAGAGTTATTAATAATAGAATGGTAGTACAACTAATAAATACATATATCAGCCATTTTTTAAAATGACAGGAATGTACCATCTATGATACTATTACTTATACAATCTGTAAAACTATCCATAACATGCATAAGAGTCTAAGATAAAAATGTCATCTTTAGTCACCACTAGCCTTTTATTTTTTAAAGATTATAATTTTTGAAATATCTTAAGATGTAATTTAATGGAATGGGAAACTATGTGTACACATTTTAAATATATTTGTGACATTTATAATTCCTGGTATGATCAATATATTTTATGATAGCTGGGTCTAAATAAAAAAAAGATAAAGGCAGATTTGTATGGCTGGCAATGCTACATAGCAATGAAACATTTATGAAATGTCTTGTGTTGCAAACCAAACTTGTGTTGTTCTAAAACAAGGAAAAGAAAAAATGTTTAAAGTGAATTGCAATATAACAATACGTATGTGAGCTTGAGTTGTAATAGTCTTGAATAGTTGCAAATCTCTTGATATACAAAAATGAACTGCATGTAACATATATATATATAAATAATATAAAAACAACATATTATACTAAAAAAATTTGAGATTTTAAACATGCAACTGAAATAATAATTAATAATATATTAACAATAATAAATTAACAAGTATAAAATAAACAAAAATCATTTACCTGACATTACAGTTATCAAAGTCATAAAATCTTCCACACATTTCGGTACAAAATAAATAATACTGTTATTGTAATCAGATAACAAACTGTTTAATCTTGATTGCCATGACTTCTCATTATCTGACCTCAAGACATCAGAAATGAATCCTAATCCGACTATAAAGAAAAAAAAACTGAAATTTTTTAATGACAAAAAATTTATTAAAAATTTAAAAAAACAAAAAATTATTAACATAGTTTTTAAGAATAAAATCACACATACATCTTTTCTCTAAACCAATCCAAAGCAAGAGATTTTCCTCTGTGAGCAAAACTTTTAGACATCCATCATGTTGAGAATAGTTAGGGATACAAACCTGGACCTCTTTTTCAAAAAGAATAGTTTCGTCAATTAAATGAGCTAACCGCAGATCATTATCATAACAACCACTAAGTACTGATTGCAGCTTCACTTCACACAATTTAATAAGTGACAGACAAAATTCTTTCTATTAAATTTGTTCAAAAAAAAAAAAATTTAAATTCTCAAAAAAAAATTTCCCCTCCTCTCCCTTTCCTTTTCCTCTCGTTTTTCTTAAATTTTCATAATTTTAAAATATTACAGTCTTTAAGGGTATTCCTAAATTGTGAAATTTAATTAGTCTCTTGCAAAAGTTTAAAATCAGTCAAACATTTTTTAGGTAAATCCATAACTTATTGAAAATGACATACACAAAGCTAGGATTTAATTTATGTTATATACATTTATGTGTATGTTTATAACATATATTAAATCTTAACTTTGTGTATGTCATTTTTAATAAATTATGGATTTACCTAAAACATGCTTAACTGATTTTAAACTTTTGCGAGAGACTAAATAAATTTTAATGTCACAATTTAGGAATACTCTTAAAGTTAAAATGAAAAATTTCTGCTGTTTTCTTGTTCATTATGCTATAAAAACTTTTGTAAATTGAAAACAAGCTTTTGAACATTCCAAATAAAGTTTTATTTTTTCATTAAAAGTAGTTCTCAAATATCTTTGATTTACAGGTTAAAATTTACCAAAAAACATTTATATAAGGAAAACTTACGTAAAAAAGCTGAAATATGATAGATATTGGTCTAAATCAATATTATCTAAAACTTTTCTATTATTGAATGATATTTGTTTTGAAACTAAACAATCTTTAATATAGTATTAAATGAATAAAAAGTTATAAAAAATTTATATTTTTCAATTACTTAGTTTTCACTTTTTTTTTTTTTTACATTACACATTTTGCAATTTGCATTTTACCTAAAATTCTTTTGTACTTTTTCTTTTAGCGCATTAGAAGTGGTTTTTATAATAAATTAAAAAGATTAATTTATTATAAATAGGTTAATACTCATTTAGTATTAACCTATTTATAATAAATAAATCTTTTTGGCAAGTTTAAATAATTTCCTTTTTAGTTTCTATTTATTTTTCATTAAATGTATTTATATCTAACACAGTTGCTCGCAATGACTATACAAGTTGGGAATTACTATTATGTAAGGAAAAGAGATGAAGCAAAGACTATTGTGCCTTAGTGGTAGGGCTCACTTCATAAATGAGAAGTTCAGAGTTTGATAGCCACCACGCCGCTGATAGTACAGCACTTAACTTATTTCTCCACGCAGTGACCTTGTTTGTCAAGGTTCGCCTTTCGCAGTTAAAAGGTTATGAGAGGGTAGTACCCACAATAAAGTAGCCTCCTTTTATGTAGTGGCCCTCTAGACCCTAGAGAGATAAATAACAAAAAAGGTCAAAAAACAAAATAATTAACTTGGCTTTTTCGATATTCATTTTCAACAGTTCTATCTCATTCAACCTACTGGCTTGTTTGTTTTAGATAAGAAATTTCCATTTTTATAAAATTATTGCACTTGTCATTCGCACCTAACACTTATCTCTATTAAAACTTTTTCACTAAGCTTTAATGGATACCTGTTATTCAAACCTAATATTTTTAAATCTTTAAGAAAACTTATGAATCTCACTAAACTTCAATGGATTAATTTAAAAAAAGAGTACTTTTTACAATATTAAGCTAGTTCTAAAAAACAAAAAAATAGTAAATGAAATAAAATTTCATTTTAATGTCATTTTAATGTCATTCAGTTTTATTTCTCAAGTTTAATGCCAAAATGTTGAACAAAATCCTAGAAACATTAAATATATTGAAGCATTGATGAAAACATACTAAACTTCATAATGGTGTCTACTAAACCAGTGATATAAAAAAAAGTTAAAATGAAAAAAAAAACATTATAAAGAAAAATAAAGGTAGTAAAAAAAACTGATCAACTGGCAAGACAACATTAAAAATATTGACAAGCTAACATTAAAAACTACTAAAAACTTCAAATATAAAATATTTACTTACCTTGATAATACATGAACTTTTATTTTCAGTCAAAATTGACTGAATAAAATCCAAAAAACTTGCATGGTCGTGAATCCAATTGAGGACTTGTGTGTAATACCATTCTGGCTGAAATATTTAATTATATTTGAAATATTAATTTTTTAATTAAATTCTAACTTTTTTTCATTTTTAAACATTTTTAAAGTTAAACTGTATGCAGTGTATGTGCATGTATGTGATGTGATTGTACTTGTGCTTGCTGTTTATTAGATCTGGACTAAAAGTCCACTCCTTTTATCCCCTCCATTGTATTAAGCACGCAAGAGTATGTGTTTATTAATAAATAGAGCAATATTATGTGAGATCATTATCTGTCATACCATTTATTAAATTATATTTAAACACTAATCTTCTATGTATGTTGCTATTAAAGCTACTAAATTAAAATTTCTGAAAACATAAATTTAAAATATTTATTAAACTAATGTAGTAGTATTTTTAAAACTTCATTAAAATAAATTTTAATATTTTTCTTAAACTCATTGATCTTTTGAATACTGAGTTTCTAAATCTGACCATTTAGATTGGTCCTGATTTAGAACTAAACATTTTTGGTTATGGCACATGCAAAATAACAAAAAAGAGACAAGTTTTTAAGTTACCTTATCCAGATTGTTTGTATGTCTGTTGCCATAAAAATGATATTTAAAGCGCTTTTTTATTGGTTTTACTAAAAGTTCATTTAACAAATTTCCATATTTTAATGATGATCTATTATTTTTTGTTTAAGGTTTTGAAATGCCAAGTATCAAAATAATTATAAAAAATCATATTATCATATTACCATCATTATTCAACTGATAATCAAATAAAAAATGATAACAATAAAATTTAAAGAAATAATTTCAAACCGACAAATAAAATTTATAAATAATAATAGTAAACAATAAAACTTATTTATAAATAATCACATTATGCAGAAAATTGATGAAAAGACATGTATGAAAAGTATGCAACAAAATAAATTTAGTATGCAATAAAATAAAAACAGTAAGCAATAAAAAGATACAATGAATTAAGCTGAGCAATAGAAGCTACAAGACTTTTCAGATGATCTTCTGTTCCATCTTTTTTATTAAAGTGAGGTGACCTAACACCAGTGGCAAATGGATAACTAATTGATTTCAAAACCACTTCTAATGCGCTAAAAGAAAAAGTACAAAAGAATTTTAGGTAAAATGCAAACTGCAAAATGTATAATAAAAAAAAAAAAATGAAAACTAAGTAATTGAAAATTATAAATTTTTATAACTTTTTACTCATTTAATAATTTTTCAATAATTTTTTACTTAATAATTCAATGACTTCTAGAATAATTATTTGAATATTGTCCCAAATATAAAGCAAAATACAAAACTATACCAAATTTTAGCATAAATAAATAAACAGGGTTTAGTAGACAAAAAATGTTTTGTATTTGAACTGTTAAATAAAGGCGGTAAATGTAAAGCTTACTTATATAAATGTAACTTTTATGAAAATCTTTTTTGATGTATTTACATAGAGTAGCATAGAATTTTTTAATGTTTTAGATATGACACTTTACTACTTACTCAGATATTGTGCAAATCTTAAGTTAACTATGTTTATGCTTATATCAAATAAGAGAGTTTTGCAAAAAATTACATTGGTTGGAGCCTGGAAACAGAAATACCCAGAAAAGTTGCTTTCCCTCCCTCCCCACCTACTATAAAACTGAGATATTATTACCACCCTACTATAAACATGATATTTTGTAAATTTCAAATGGTCATAACTTTTGAATGCTTAAAGATTATAAAAAAAATTTAAAACCATTAATATGCCTGTAAGTGCCACATTTGAAACATCATAAAATCCTGTCCACAATAATCCAGTAATCGAAAAATTTATCAGTTTTATGTTCTTGTAAAAACTTTTTTTTTTTTTTTTAATGTTCAAAAACTTAAATGCAAAAAAGAACTTTTAAACTTTTAAAAAGAATGAACTTATGTAATAGAGTTATATGAGTGTACAACTTTTATAAATATAGTTATTAAAGTAATAAAAGAAATAAATTGTTTATAATAGAAAGTGAACTTAAAAAAACTCAAATAATTCAATTAAGGAGAAAGAAAAAAAGTCTGTGAAGCGAAAATAAACTTGGAAAAAAAACTTAACAATATTAATTAATTTTTTTTTTTTTTTTTGTGAACTAAAAAACTTTTTTACCTACTAGCATGTCAAAGTGGTGAAAAAAAAAGACAAATGTTTGTAACAATACTATACTAGTAAAAGAAATTAAGATACAAATTTAACAAACAAAACACAAACAGAAAGAGTAGATAATAATAAATAACTTACCTAGATAAATGGGCTTTTAGTTCAGTATACAAGAGCTCACATTTTTTATAAGAGTATGTTTTCAAATTGTTGCAACTTGAGTTTTGTAGAGTGGATGAAATTATGAATAATTTCTTATGACTGTTAATTGCCTGCATGAAGTTTTTCTTTTCTATACACGATAAAGTCTCCTCGCTAAAAAAAATTGTTTTTTAATTTATTGTATATCATTTTAGGTTTCTTTTTCCATAAAATTTTAACTACATTTTACCATACAATTTCCTAATCTTTTTAATAGACTTCACATAAAATGATCAAATTTAATAAGTAAAACAAAACCTTTTTTGAAAATGAAAAACAAGAGATAATACAATAAAAATTGGCAACTTTTTTCAAAATACTATACTCAACCCTCAGATTTAAGAAAAAAGAGGTCAGCAATAATTTGCTGACCTTAGTCTTTTAGAGGTTGGCATCAGGTCAGCAAAAAATTTGATACAAAGGTCTTACGATAAAACATTGTTTAAAAAAAAAACAACTAATCAATTATTACTTGATATTTATTACATATTAATCAATAAAAATATATCCAGATAAAAGATTTCTCTTAATACATTCAAGGTTCAACCTCAAGGTTCTCGGCCCGCTCCTCTTCATTCTCTACACAAATGATCTTGCAAAACTCACTGAAACTTCTGAGATATTTGCTGATGATACTAAACTTTTTTTTTAAACCTTATCACAATCTAATTATGTTGATCTGCAGGATCGTCTACGCTTGGTATACGAGTGGTCAAACACTTAGTTACTTAAGTTGAACATCTCAAAATGCTGCGTCATTCATTACGGTCGAAACAACCCCCATTACAATTACTTTCTGCAAAATAACCAAGGAATTAACCAATGTCTAAGAAGCTTTACTAAAGAACGTGATTTAAGAGTCATTTTTACATCTAACCTCAAGTGGAGCGCTCATATTCAAACAGTTGTCTCTAAGTCCTTACAAATTCTTAGTATGCTGAAAAAGACATTCACTTTCATTAATGAAAAAATGACTCTCAAATTATATAAAGTATTTATAAGATCACATCTTGAATATGGAGTGTCCATTTGGGCTCCTTATTTAAAAGCTGATATGGCTTTGGTTGAATCTGTTCAACGCAAAGCAACAAAATGGGCTTACAGCTTGAGGCATCTTCAATACTGCGAAAGGCTAAAAAGATTAAATCTACCATTACTTGAGTTTCAACGCCTTCGATGCGATTTAATCCAAATTTTTAAATTAATACATTGTTTTGATATAGTTAATGATAAATATCTACCAAAATATATTAACTCCATGTCTCATGGTCACCATTCTAAAATAAGGCGTGAGTATGTTCCAAACTGTCTTCCAAGATATAATCATTTGTATAATAGATCAGCAAAATACTGGAACGAACTACCAGAGCAAATAACTTTGTACTCCACTGTACTTTTCTTCAAAAATAGACTAGACTCCAGGTTGTGGAATAAGTTTGGAACAAATATTTATAAAATTGGTTGTTTATAGTGGGGTGTTTTCGCTGCTCGCTGTATGTGTACATTCTATGTAAATTTACGGCTACAACTATAATAATAATAATAATAACATTCAATTTTTTTTTTAAATATAAATTTCTTATTTTTTAAAATAATAAAATATTTTAATGTAATAAGATTTTCTGAAAATCCTGTATTTTTATATCCACCGGATTTGGTTTTTAAATTTTTGAAAACAGTTTGATTTTGAATAACCAATCGTAAAATTTTCATATGACAAAAACAAAACAAAAAAATGTTTTAATTTAATTTTTATAAATCTTTATTCAATTTTAAATAAATAAAATTTAAAAATACAAGCGCATTCAAGAATTTATCAGATAACTATGTTATTCTCCTCACTCAGTTTTGATCTTGTCTTGCAAAAAATGATTTTAAACTTTTGAATTTTTAAAAAAAACAGACAATTTTGCGTATATTATGGATGTTTTCTTGAATATTTAACATATTTCCAAATTCATATTTTGATGGACCAACATTGTTAACTTTATCTTCATCATCAAAACAATCTCTCTATCACTATCAACATCATCTTCATTCAATATTGAATTTTTATTATCACCACAGTATAAATCGTCATGTATATGTTCCAATTCAAATGTTATTTTTTTATAAAGTGTGTTGCAAACAGGTAAATGTTGCATTTAAAGGTATGCCATGGTTGAAACATAACTAGTAAGTTGCTAGCCTCTCTCTACCAAACTTAATCATTATAGGTGCACCATCACAAGTTGACGCAACAATATCTTTCTCAAAAGAATTGTCAATATCTCTCTCAAAAGAATGTCTAAATAAAATTTGGAAAGAAATGTTACAGTTTTTAAAAGAATTTTAACTAGATCAATGATTCTTTTGAGACCCATCATGACATACTTTTAAAAAAATATTCTTTGGCATTTAGGGTCATGTTGCAAAATTCAGACTTGAGGTAGTCCACAAATTACATTTTGTAAAAGTTTAACAGTGAAACGAATAAAAAAAAATTAAGAATAGGGCAAGATCTTTTTTTTTTTAAATAATATTAGCATTTGATGTACCATAATACATGATCAGGAAGATAAACCTACTAATGGAGAAACAAGTATATATTATTATATTATATATTCTATTATAACATAATAATTTGTATTATTTTATATTATGGTTTACACAGTCTATTAATTTTTGTCATTTTTATTAAAAAATTTTATATTTTATTCTATTTATCTAATTTTATATATGTATTTATATTTTATTCTATTTATCTAATTTTATATATGTATTTTATTTTTATTTTTTATCTTTTTATTCTTTAATTTTTAATTTTTTGTTTTGTAATATTAATTGGTATTGAATGCACATCTTTCACTATCCATATTATTTATTGAAAAATATTAATGCTCTCCAAAATAGTCTCCAAAGGGGTTTAGGCTGTTTGTAGTGAAGTCCTTTTTTACTGCAGTATGGAGCAGGCGTAAATCGTGGGGTAAAGAATAAATGATGATGTTTATCTAAAGGGATAAACTAGGTATTGGTGTTGAGCCTATCCGAAATGTCGGTAATAAACGCGATTCTGAGAAGTTTATTACCACCACTACATAAATTATGATTACACAAAAGCGATGTTTTTTCTTCATCTTATACCTCCTATCATTTTATATTTATTTATTTTTAAATAGTGATATATCTACAAATGTGTATATTTGTGTTAAAGTAACTTAAAAATTTGTATTTAATAAAGATTTTTGTTTACTTTTATGTCCTGTTTTGTTTTAAGTATACTTTAACAATAAAATTACTGCTGACTATGATTGTGTATAAACTTTTTCTTCTTAAAATAAATCTGTATTTATTCTGACCATCTGTTTGCTTCTATTTGTTTTTATTAGCTATCCTCTTATATATAAAAAGATTTTTCAATAGAAATGTTTAATATTTCTCTGTGGGCTTTCATTGCTCAGTCTAATTCAAGCACCAGAGATTACCTACATCAAATATAACAAACATATACATATATATGTGCTTTTTTTCTTCTAAATCGCACCGGAACGGCGTTCTGGCACTTTTTTTTTTACATATATCTAAACACTTTTTTTCTGTATTTTTATATAATGAACTTAGTTTTTTTTTTAAATTAACACTTAATGGAAATTTCGAGAAACTGAAATATGAAATCTGTCAATAATACTGCAGTTAATTAAAAGAGAAATGGTTCATGGATTCTGTGAATAATTTGTAGAAAAAAACATATCCTAAAAATTTGGTAGACGGAGTGCTGCTACATTGACTGACAAATAGCCTGACTTGCAAGGGAATGCTGCTACAACGACTGACAAATAGCCTGACTCGCAAGGGAGTGCTGCTACATCGACTGAGGGTTTGGTTTAGGCAGGCAGTCTATCATTTAATTAAAAAAAAAAAATTCAAGTTTTTAAACTTTTTCTGGTCTGGTTTATTAACACGCTCTTTAAAACTACAGTTTATGGGAAACTCTTTCTGAGTACCATGCAAGAGTATATATATATATATATATATATATATATATATATATATATATATATATATATATATATATATATATATATATATATAATATATATATATATATATATATATATATATACATAAATATATATATATATATATATATATATATATTTTATATATATATATATATTATATATATATATATATATATATATATATATATATATATATATATATATATATATATATATATATATATATATATATATATATATATATATATATATAATTATAGGAGACAGGTTTTTCTTCATTATTCAATTATTCAAACTTTGCGATAAATATTAATTCTTTTCAAGACAAAAAACAAAAATTCTTATTACATGTGCTTATGATGTTTAAAGTTGATTTCATTGCCAGCTGTTTTAATTCTTAAAGATAATGTCTTTTAATATTTCATTATCATAAAATGAAACTAAGTATCTTGGAAGTATCTTAAATTTTATGCAATTCAATTTATTATAACAATGTTTTGAATTAATCTAATTATTGGGAAAAAGAAGTGTTAAAAAGCTTCAATTAAAGTAATTTTTATTACTTTTCGTATTTTTAGGCTACTGAATTGAATGGTGAAAGTATTTTTTTTTCTTCTGTGACATTTTAGCATTATTTATCTGCATCACGCACAGACATACATATATACTTCCAATAAAAAATAAAAGAGCTAACACGAGCAACAAATAAAAGGAGGAAGACAGTCTTTTTTTATCTCCACAGAGTTTTGGGAAAGCACTTGCAACAATAAATTTGGCATTACCTGCTAATTTTGATTAATTTTGAATTGTTTTGTATTAACCTTTTTTGGTATATTTATAAACTAACTATTCATCCATTTGTTTTTAACTCTTCTAAAATCAGATGGATTTCAGTGAAAATTACACCATGATGGAGCAAAGTGAAATTCAATCCACTAACTGGGTTCATCAGTAACTAACAGTATTCACCACTGTAATTTAGAGTAAGAGCAGTACATATCTGATCATTTACTTCATGATAAATATCTTGTTTATTATCAAATAATTGTTAAGTCATTATCAAAATATTTGTAAATTACACATTTTTAAAGATAGTCTTTCATCACAATTCAA